CCACCCTTAAGCTCTGTAATCCCACAGCAATTTGGGAGGCTGAGGAAAGCAGATCACTTGAGGCCAGGAGTTCAAGACTAGCCTGGCCAACATGGTGAAATCCCGTCCCTATGACAAACACAAAAATTAGCCAGGCATGGTGGCGTGCACCTGTAATCTCAGCTACTCAGAGCTGAGGCATGAGAAATCCACTGAACTCCAGTCTGGATGACAATCTTTATATAAATAAAATAAAAATAAATAAATAAAATAAAATAAAATAAATAAAATAAATAAAAGTAAAATAAAAAGCCAGGGAGGGGCAGGGGGTTTTCTTTTTTACTCTAGTTTACAGGTTATAGCCATATTTTTCAGTGATGGTTTCCAGTGCTGAACTGTTCACTTGGGCTATGCATTGTCTTGCTGTTCTAGTGCATCAAAAAAGACATAGGATATACACATTTGTCTTTTTTGATGCACTAGGAACAGCAAGACAATTACATAGGATGTAAACATTCAGTCATTTTATATATATACCTTATATAGATATTTTATACATGTAATAGATACATATATAAAACATCATATATTATACATATATACATTATAAAACATATTATACATATATGTATATAAGCATCTTATATAAAATATTAAGATATAAGGTATCTTAAGAAGATATAAGATCTTATATATAAGGTGTTTTATATGTATAATATGTAATATATAAGATGTTTTATATATGTAAAATACATATAAGATATATAACATATAAGATGTTTTATATATGTGTGAAATACATACACCATACACATTATATGTAATATGTATAATGTGTATATTACATATATGTAAAATATAAAATAATTAGTGTCTATGTTTTGTAATGTCTGAGTATTATGTATGGTTATTTCCAGAAAGCAGAATATGTATCAATATAAATATAAGTAAAAATTCTAATATTCTAAATCTTCAAAATCTGGATTTCTCAGTATACGTAGAGTGACAGTTGGTGGAAGCTGTTTGTTTTCACGTTGAGAAGGACTTGCTGGTGGTGAGGTTGCAGGGACTTGAGGGGGAGATAGTTGTGCTGGCTTCAGTGCCCTGTCTTCTTGCCTAGAAGAAAATCTGGGAAGGGAACTCGAGTTGTACTGGCAAGAGCCTCGAGCCAGCAGAGTGAGATGAGGCCTCAGGAGTGTGCTGGGAGCTGGCAGGTGACACGGGCCCTTCTTTATACCACTTAGTTGGCTGAGAGTTGACCGGCAGGCAAGTTCTGTTTCTGCCCCACCCTGGTCGGCACTTTCTTTGAAAGACGCAAGTACCTGTCTGGTTGTAGCTCTTCTGAAAACGTGCCTGGATTGGCATCACGGGGATGTGGCGTGCTGGGGGAAGGCAGGGCGTTCTAGCTGTTTAACTTCTGGGAATTTCTAGGTTGCCCCAAGGCTGTTTCGACTGTGGCCTAAGTTTCTGTTTCTTAACTTGCATGGTGTTGATGACTTAAAAAGGGTCTATATGTTTCTTCGCTCTTGAATGACCTTGTGGCTTCGTTAATACCTTGTTATTCTGGGTGCGAAGCACTTCTACCCTACTCCCTAGGTGGCCCCAGGCCTCTGCCAGCCCTGTGGGGCTCATGTAGCAGCGTTGGCCACCTTGCCATGAGATGGGGCCACCAGGACTGTCTCCTCTCCTGGTGGATGTCTGAGCCCAGGAAGCAGCTGGGGACAGTGGCTTTTCTTCATAAGAGATGGGTGGGTCCCAACCTGGGGCTCGCAGTTTCTCAGGACTGGCTCGACCAACTGTTGTGGTTCATGTGGCAGAAATGCTACTGTCGAAGTTGTAATTTTCTCTAGCAGAGTGAAACATGCCATTTGTCATGGCTCATGAAAACCATTGGATTGGTACTTTTGCGTTTCTTAGTGTGTCATTCTGCTTTGCAATAACATGCCATTTGTTGCCATGTAGGCAGCCAGTCAGTATCTAAAAATAGTCTCTCCAATAAAAACATTCCACACATATGATTGCAGAAAATTGTTTTGTGTGCAGACATGCGCATGCTAGTGTGTGCGTGTCTGAAGGCTGAGCACTTTTCATGTTATTTATGTCTTTTTTAAAAAAAAATCTCTTGATGTTTTTATTTTACTTAAAGGAGGATTGTAATCCAAGTATTGAAAAACGACCAACTATAGTAAATGAGTAAATATGGAGTGGAACTCTGCAATCAAATGATTTTGTTATTGTTTGAGTTTGTAAGGCTGGTCAAGCTTTGGTCAACAGATGGAGCTTAATGTGAGGTGGTTAATCCTGAACCAAATCACTTAGGACGAAGAGCACTGAGTAGACATTAGAAATCCATGCAAATTCAGCAATCTGACGGTACCAGAGTCACTTTATGTACATGCTACAACATGTCTATAGCGCTTATTGCTGTTTTTGGAATTTTAAAAAAGATAGGTTCTTGAGCAAACAAAAAAAAACAATTTTATTTTAAATCAGACTGCGTTTGTTCTGCCGAGAGAGTACACAAATGCTATGTATCCTAGTTGAAAGGGAATATTGTCCAAGGAGATTTTCTAAATATTCCTGTGATAATACGTTACAGTCTTTGAACAGATATATAGACTATTTAATCAATATGAATGTATATCATATTTAAAGTACTTAATACTTAAATGGAATAACTATTATAAAGCTTTGAAATTATATGATTCAATAGGAAACATTATATAGGGAAACCAAATTACTTTCTAAAACTTGGAAAGTGTCTTGTTACTGATTTATATCAAATAGAGAAATAATGCAGAGAAGTGAACTATAAGTTTATAATTTCTGTGACTCCCAAAAGATGTTCGTACTTGAACTAATATCTTTTAGGAATGTCTGATAGCACCGGTCAAAATAACTGCTTCTTTTAGGAATATATAGGTGACAGCTGGGCTCTGTGGCTCATGCCTGTAATCTTAGCACTTTGAGGAGCCAAGACAGGTGGATTGCTTGAGCCCAGGGGTTTGAGACCAGCCTGGGCAACATGACAAAACCCTGTATCTAAAAGAAAATGCAAAAATTAGCTGGCTGGTAGTGCACGCCTGTAGTCCCAGCTACTCGGGAGGCTGAGGTGGGAGGATCACTTGAGCCTCGGAGGTGGAGGCTGCAGTGAGCTGTAATGCCACTGCACTCCAGCCTGGGTGACAGAATGAAATCATGCCTCAAAACAAAAAACATACACACACACACACACACATGTACACAGAGAGAGCGAGACAAATATATAGGTGACCTAAAATGAAAAAGATTTTTGCAATATATTTTTTTATTGTCCAATTTAGAATCTTTTTGCTGAAATTATACCGAGATTGTATTGTCAGTTTGGGACACTTGTGTGAGAAATCACTTACTGCTGATTATGAAATAATTGAATTCCTCTCCCTCCCTCAGGTATTCACTTACAAGCAGAGCACAATTACCCACCAGAAGGTGACTGCCATGCACCCCACGAACGAGGAGGGCGTGGATGACATGGCGTCCTTGACAGAGCTCCACGGCGGCTCCATCATGTATAACTTATTCCAGCGGTATAAGAGAAATCAAATATATGTAAGTTCCAATTGTAATTCCTTTAAAAAGATCCTCACGTTTGAGTGAATGCTTATTTTTCTTTTCAGGGAGTAGTTCCTGCCTTTGGAGAACTCTTGTTACAAATCTAAGTAAAACTATGTTTGTTTGTTTGTTTGTTTTTTGAGATGGAGTCTCACTCTGTCATCCAGGCTGAAGTGCAGTGGCACAATCTCAGCTCACTGCAAGCTCTGCCTCCCGGGTTCATGCCATTCTCCTGCCTCAGCCTGCCAAGTAGCTGGGACTACAGGCACCTGCCACCACGCCCAGCTAATTTTTTTGTATTTTTAGTAGAGACGGGGTTTCACCATGTTAGCCAGGATGGTCTCGATCTCCTGACCTCGTGATCCACCCGCCTCGGCCTCCCAAAGTGTTGGGATTACAGGCGTGAGCCACCACACCAGGCCGTAAAACTATGTTTTTAAGGGATTTGCCAGTTTAGAAACTTGGGTCAATAAATCATGTTTTCCTAGAGTTTATTGCCTAGATTTTATTAGTGGGATTTACTTTCTGTGGAAGGGTCTTCTGCACATCGAAGTGGTTTGACCTTGCTTCTTGTGAATACGCTGTGTTGTATTCAGTTTCTAAGTGTTCTGCTACGGAAAGAAGTCACGGAGTTGTTAGACTGACTGAGGGAAAATGTTAACTTGTAGACATGAGTACTTGAACTCAAGCTGTCTTTTCTGGATTTTTCTCTTTCTGTGGATTTTCAATTAGTTTTCTGGCTCTGGAGCCCACACTAGGGTGATACTTGCATTCAAGGGAACCCATCTTTCTAAGTTGTGGGATTCCTGTTTGCTATTTTGAATGGAGAAATACATAAAAAGTGGTCATGCACACTTTTCTGTCAACTTCTATGAAATGTGACTCTACCTCTATTATGAAGTGATATTTAAAAATCACTTCTGTAATACATTTTTGACATTAAAGTACAGGTACTGCATTATCTGTCAGGATCAGTTGACCTGCAGGTTTTCTCCCCTTTTCCATCTGCCTGTTTGCAAGTCTTTATAGGAAACTAAAGGCAACTGGTTATATATGTTTATTTCTCTTGTCCAGCTCAAATTTATATAATTTTTGAGCCAAAATAATAATACTTTAAAAACTCTTGATCTTTTAGTAACTTTTATTCTTTAGGAGTTACATTTCTCTTTGCCAGTATGGTTGTGATTATGATTAATAATAAATTAGCGTTTGCCAGGTGCGGTGGCTCACACCTGTAATCCCACCACCTTAGGAGGCCAAGGTGGGTGGATCACGAGGTCAGGAGTTTGTGACAAGCCTGACCAACATGGTGAAATCCCATCTCTACTAAAAATACAAAAGCTAGCTGGGCGTGGTGGCGCTTGCCTGTAGTCCCAGCTACTCAGCAGGCTGAGGCCGAAGAATCGCTTGAACCTGGGAGGCAGAGGTTGCAATGAGCCAAGATCACGCCACTGCACTCCAGCCTGGGCAACAGAGCGAAACTCCATCTCCAAATAAATAAATAACAGAGTGAAACTCCATCTCTAAATAAATAAATAAATAAATAAATAAATAAATAAATAAATAAATAAAATCAGCCTTCAAATGGATAGTACATGCTAACTGAAACTCAAGGCATGCTTAATATTCAGGTTCTTCCAATTTATCTAACCTTAGACTGACAAAGGAGCTGGGAAAGAGAAAGAATTAGATATTTATGGGTTTACACTGCTAAATCTTCCTCAGTTTATAAAAAAAAAAAAGAGTGTATTTGCCTTTCTTTTTTTTTTTTTTACACTGTGAAAGTGTTTTTTTTTTGTCAGATCAACCTAATGTTTGCCAAATGTTTTCAAACAGCCCTGTCCAGAGAAATTCAATCATGCTGTAGTCCTCTGACTTGCTGAGCTAGCTTGTCCTCAGTCTTTAGATTAAAATATTTTCCATATGTTTAGAAAAGGTAATGTTTATACATGTTGGTGTGAAAGTGGCGATGCATTCTGTGTTTTGCATGAGCTGACATAATGCACATTTATTTGTCTGTTCCCATCTCAAAAATCTTGTTGATGACCAGGGAACTACCTCTTTCCCATGGAATACCACTGCATAGGTATCCACATGACCACTGCACTGTGCATGCGTTGTTGTCAGTATTAAATATTTGACACTGTCACGTAACTATTTGTTTACATAGCAGTTTCTTTGCTAAGTTTGTCAAGGACTTATTTTGTCTTCCTTGAGCCAAGGACACTGCCAGGCACCTGGTAGTTGTGCAATAAATGTTTATAAAATAAATGCCATTCGTATTACAAATAGTCTTGTAGTTGATAAAATGTGAACCTGGATTTTAAAATTTTTTATTGGTGTATGTCTCTTGTAGGTGCAGATAGGTTGACTAGACCTAATCCAAAAACCCAAAATCCAAAAAATGTTTCAAAATCTAAGACATTTTGCATGCTGATGTGATGCTGAAAGGAAATGCTCATTGGGAATATTTGGGATTTTGAATTTAACTTAAATTATGCTTAGCCAGTGCATAGTACGCAAATATTCCCAAATCCAAAAAATACTGAAATCCAGAACACTTTTTGTCCCAGGCATTTCACACAAGGGATGCTCAGTCTCTATTTTCAAACTCATACTTTGCTGTCGTTAGAGAAAAAACAAGTTTTTTTTTTTTTTTGTAATGGTGTCTTGCTATGTTGCCCAGGCTAGACTCAAACTCCTGAGCTAAAGTAATCCTCCTGCCTTAGCCTCCTGAGTACCTAGGATTACAGGCACGTGCCAGCATGCCCACCTGGACACAAGTTGTTATTGTACATTTTCAATAGTCAAGAAAAAGTAAATTAGAAGGAAAAAAAAAAAAAACTACACAAGGGGTTTACAAGGCAGACCCTTTTAAAAAGTTTTTTATTTGTTTTCTTCTTTTCATGATAATGATGTTAAACTTGATAGCTAAATTGCCCAATAAATACTATAAATAAGATCTTGGTCTTGGAATAAGGTCATTTTCTTCCTTTCTAAGGGGAAAGCCGCAGGATTTTTGTGCATCCAGTTAGCAGTTCAGTTCAGTTAATTATGCCATTGTAGACCTTCCATTTGAGGCTTGCAAAATTGTATATTATTCATAAAGCAGCCACTATGATTTTTAAAAATTATCATTGAAGCCATTTACTGGTGATGCCGGCATCTGTTGGACTCTGCTTATATCGAGACAAGACCGCCACCTGTCAGAATAGCCACCGCTTCTCCACATGGGATCCTGGCTTGGAGCAGTGCCTGTCTGTATCTTTAAAAGAGAAAAAAAATAAAACGACTTGAATTGTTCCAGAGATGTTGCATTAGTTTTCCATTGCTGGATAACCAATTAACATAAGTGTACTAACTTAAAAGAACAAAGCTACTTGCCTTCTTATGGTTCTGTAGGTTGAAAGTCCGATAGGTCTCACAGCAGAATTCAAGGTGTCAGCAGGGCCGCGTCTCTTTCCAGAAGCTCTAGGGGAAGATCCATTTCCTGTTCATTGTGGCTGTTGGCTGAATTCAGTTACTTGCAGTTGTAGGACTGAGTTCCTTGTTTTCTTGCTGACTGTCACCTGAGGGCTGTTCCCAGCTTCTAGAGGCCGCCCACATTCCCTGGTTTCCTGATCTGTGGCTCCCTTTCTTCGGCTTCAGTGCCAGTAACCATGTGTTGCTTCCCTCTCGTGACTTCAGATCTTTCCTCTTTCTCCTCCACTGTCTTCTTTCTGTCTCTCTGACTGCAGCCAAGAAAGGCTGTCCCTTAGATTGGGCCTCCCTGGATGATCTCCCCATCTCAGGCTTCGTAATCACCTGTGCAGAACCCCTTTACCATGTGACATTATCTAGTCACAGGCTCTGGGATGAGTGTGGATGGATGTCTTTGTGGGAGGAGCCATTATTTTGCCCACCATAAGTGTCCTCCTTTTTTTATTTATTTATTTTTTTTTATTTTATAAAACATTGCTATGTTGCACAGGCTGGTCTTGAACTCCTGGGCTCAAGTGATCCTCCCGCCTGGGCATTCGAATGTGTCGGGGTGACAGGCACGAGCCTCCGCATCCAGCCAGGTAGTCTCCTTTGAGTCATATCATTGAGGAGGGACTCCTGTGGCATTTTCCCCCTGCGGGTGTCTGGATGTTCCATTATTTGTTGACTTTCTGTTCTGAGCTGGCAGGTTCCATGGGTTGCTGGCTAGTGGCTCATCGCCAGGTAGAGAGGCTGCCATTCTTTGCTAAGGAGTTCTGTTAGCTTTTTCTCCTTGGGGACTGGTCTTTTTATCTGAGAACTTTGTCAGAAACCAGGAAAACATTTTTTCTTGTAGCTTTCGGCATCTTCTATTGAAATGGAGTAGAAAGTGATAACACAAAAAAGAAAAGCACTCAGAATGGTCAGGTTAGAGTTGACTCCCCCTTTTCTTCAGTAACCTCCTCTTTGGCTCTGTATTGATAGCTGAATCTTTCTGAACACCAGTTTCTAAAATTAACGTATTTTCAAAGGTCAGATACCATAATCCCTCTAGCAGGGATGTTTTAAAGTAAAAGAAGTGAAAGCTCTGGGAACTTTAACCTTTGTACCTGTCTCTCCATCTTAGCCTTCCCATAGCAACAAGTGTTTAATGAGAAAGTTCTTGCCTTGAACTTGGCTCCATTTTAAGGGGGATTTGGAAGAAGTTTACAACATCATCCCTAGCCTCAAAGCTTGCAGTTGAGTGGGGAGATAACACCAAGGCCAGCTCACAGCACATGGCCTTGGATAGCTGAAGGCCTGTCATTGAGGGTTATGTGAGGTTGACACAGGCTTGGGTTTGACTGTGCTTATGAAGCCCCTGAACCTTACCGCTGGGCCCTTTAGCTATTCCTGTGGGTGCATCCCTCTCCCACGCTTGTCCTCGAGGGGACAGAGGCCGTATTGAGTTTGATGCCAGTGTCCATAGGTCTGGACTGCATGGTTTAAGCTGCAGTGCCTGGATTGGAGCCGCTCTGCGCTAGCTGTAACTGCCTGTG